CTCTCCCTGGTAGCACAGAGGCTGCCAATTAAAAATAAAAGAATCTTTTTGTCTCGTCTCAAGACTTTCAGCTCGATAATGGGACGTGCCACGTGTCAGAGTTCCTCTCGGACAGTCCAAGGCGACCTCTGTGGCCTAGTGCACTGACTGCACTTGTCGCCAAGGGGACCATTCTCACTCAGCTTCTTCTCAAACGGGTTCTGCTAATAAGGGTGGTAAGTGTAAAAGCCACCACAGGGCCCTGACTGGTTTGGCTCAGTGGATAGAGCATCAGCCTGTAGACTGAAGGGTCCCAGGTTTGATTCCAGTCGAGGGCATATGCCTTGGTTGTGGGCACATCCCCAGTGGGGGGTGTGCAGGAGGCAGCTGATCGATGTTTCTCTCTCATCGATGTTTCTAGCTCTCTATTCCTCTCCCTGCCTCTCTGTAAAAAATCAATAAAATATATTAAAAATAAATAAATAAATAAATAAATGCCGCCACAGGCTGCCCCCCCGTGTCCACAGGGCTCTCTGCCTGGGGGTCACCTGCTCCTCTGGTGCAGGGAGCACCTGCCTGCAAAAAGGACAGGAGTCCTTGTCTGGAGGCCACTGGACCCGTGCGGCCCTGGGTAGCTGAGGCCCGAGTTCCTCCCGGAGAGGGACGGCCAAGCCTCCACGCCCAGCTCCTGGCTGAATGATCCCTGGGGGGGCCTGGTCAGCCGGTGGAGCGTGGAGGGGAGCCCCCGACAGCCTGTACCCCCAGTCACTGCAGAAATCTCCCGCTGTGCCCAGCGAGAGGGCCGGTCACCAGGTGAGGGACGCCTAGCAGGATGTCATCTGTTGGTCACAGCAGCCTGTCTCTAGGGGGTGCACCCAAACGAGGGGTGCTGATTTAAACAGAGGCCCCATTTCCCTGCTGCACCTGGGCTCAGTGGTTGGGCAGCAGTGGTCTGACTCGCTGGGTGGGTAGGGGGGGCATGGCAGGTGGCAGGGCTTCCAGTGATTTGGAGACCAGTCGGGCTGAGGACCACCAACCCTTAGGAACCAGTGAGGACTCCAAAGCAAGTTAATGGATAGCGATTCAGCGTGTCATCCACGGGGGAGGAGTGAGTGCTGGGCTCGGGGTCGGGGAGCTGGGGTAGAACCCGCCTCTGCCCCTTTGCAGCCCCGTGACACTGACAGCAGGTTTCGCTTTCCCGAGCCTCAGTTTTCTCATCTCTACTATGGGGACAACACCACGACTCAGGGTCAAATACACAGGCTTGTAGCGATGAAGGGAGAAGACCCAGCTCATGGCCCCAGACTTACTATTCCCTCAACCAGTGCCTTCAACTCCACGCATCTTGGAGGACTCCCAGTGGCCACAGCTGAAGGCCAGCTCAAAGGGAGGGCACCCAGCCTCCTGCCTCCGAGTGCACAGAGCCACCCCGGGCTCCGGCTCTGAGAATCGGCCTTTCCAACAAGCTCCCCGGAGGTGCCGACCCGCTGGTCCCCGGAACACACTTTGAGAACCTTTGCTTCATTCTAACAGCAACAATTCCTGCACAAGGTGCGGAGATGCCCTGTGTCTTCAAGCCCAGTGAGTCAAAGACGCTTTGAAGAGCCACCTGCAGTGAGGATCTCTATGTACTGGGAGCCCCTGCTAGATGTGAAAGGGCCCGGCGTCACCATCACCATCAGGACTCAAGCCAGGCTTGCCGGCCAGCAGCTTGCGATCCTGAATGCCAGATGCTGAGCCCGCATGGGAGGTGGCTTAGAGCCCTGCTTTTCATCTCCTGTCCCTCCGTTTCCTCCTTCCTCATGGTGTCGGTGCCGGGAGGCCGAGTCTGCACTGTGACCTCACTCCCGCTAGCGGGCAGCTGGCCGCCCCTTACCTTCCTCAGCAGGGCGACCATCCCCTTGCACCACGTGGAGGAGTAGTGCACACGCTCCGCCTGGAACATGTTGAGGATCTCAGCGACGGGCGTGGCCGAGTGGATCTCGTACGGCCTCTGCAGAGACAACGGGTGGAGTCAGAGAGAGGACAGGACACTGCACTGGCCGGGTTAAAACCACAATACATCCGGCCGGTGTGGCTCAGTAATTAGGCATTAACCCATGAACCAGGAGGTCATGGTTCGATTCCCAGTCAGGGTACATGCCCAGGGATTGCAGGCTCGATCCCCAGTAGGGGGCGCGCAGGAAGCAGCCAATCCATGATTCTCTCTCATCATTGATGTTTCTCTCTCTCTCTCCATTCCCTTCATCTCTGAAATCAATAAACACACATATTTTTAAAAAGAAAGAGTTTATCTTTGAAGCAGCAAGAGCCACTCCATCCTTGGGGCTTTTGGCCACGTCATCATCTTTGACGGTTGTGACCCGTGAGGAAGGACAGAGGAGGAACTTTCTACTGGCCAAGGCCCAACCAAGCTTAGGTCTACTGCTCGCCACGGCCACTGGCCTGTCTGATTGTGCAAGACAGTCAGCGTCCGGCAAACGCTCGTGTCCTCTGGTTCTGACAAATACGATGGGCCCTCATACTCCTCCTCTGAGTATGTGTGTTCGTGGGACTAATGGACGACAGGAACCGACCAGGAATGAGGAAGCCGGTGGGAGAGCAACCTTTTCATTCAGAGCTTGAGAAAATGAACAGACTCATTGGTATGTGTGTTTTTTGCATTCTAAAAAACACCATGTACAGTAGTTCCTCTGAGAAATTCAGGGGAAATATCTGATCAAGAGGAGATCCCAGCTGCTTGAGCTACAGGGTGATTAGTAATACATATGTGCACTCTCAGAGCTCTGACGGTTTATAGACTGCTTCATTCATTCATTCATTCATTCATCACCCGTGTCACCATGCCCGGGCCCTGCCGTCACGGAGCGCTGGCTACGGGGCTGACGGTGCCTGCACGCAAAGGGCGGGGGCGCATCGCCAGTGGGGGAAACGGGACTCTGCCTGCTGTGCGGGCAGCGGAGCTGGGAAGGTGAGTGATACGTGAACCGCACGCCGCAGCCCAGGGCAGCGAATGCCGTGATGACGGCTGCGCAGATTGAAAGGATGGGACAGTCCCCACTGTGCGCGGGGGAAACCGTGTCCTGAGGGGTAGGCGGCATCCTTTTCCAACCATCCCTGTGCAGAGAAAACAGGCCCCCAAGTCAGTTTGTCATCATTCTTTCTGCTCAAATAAAACAACGAGACACTAGCTGCCAAGTAGCTCCATGGGTCATCTTCGGTTTTCCCGTTTGAATGCGATAAAGTGAAAATACGTCCGGACGCCCCATCTTTCTGGGACACGGAGCTAAGGTGTTCAGGGGAGATCGGGATGAGCAGACAAATGGAACCCGTGAAGGATGCATGGCCTGTACCCTGCAAGGGCTTCAAACCAAGCCGGAGAGGGGGGAGGACATCGTGTTGGGGTGGGAAGAGGCAGCGTTGGAACTCACAGGTGCTCCCCACGTCTGAGCTGCCACTGACGAGCCGCTGACCTTTGCACAAGCCTTCCCTCCCGACACCCCTTGCCCAGGAGCAGAATGAGGGGCTGGGTCAGAAGCTCGCTAGGCCTCAGCGCTGGCACGCACACCATCGGGACTGGCACCCAGGCCTCCGACTCCTCACTGAGCTCCTTCCTGCTACCCGGTGCCGGCCCAGCAAAATGGTGTGCCTCGTCCCCCCAAGCCCGGGACGCCCCGAGCCCCCACCTCCACAGCCCTGAGTGCCCGCCGCACAGGTGCACGTCTTACCCAGCCCCGCAGCAGCTCGTAGGCCGTGACGCCCAGGGACCACCAGTCGACAGGGTAGGAGTACCCGGGGCCTCCGTCCACGTAGACCTGGAACACCTCCGGGGCTGCCAGAGACAGGATGAAGAGAATGTCGCTGCGTGTCTCACTTACACTCACCGCCCCCAAAAGAGGGGAACGGCATCTTGGCAGACGTGGCAAGTTAAGGACCTCACGGTGCAGTCACAGTGGGGAGGACCGGCTCCTTACTGACCCCGAGTGAATCAGGCCGTCGTGTAGACCCCTCCCACCAGGTCCCTGGCCTGGGTCATGTGACTTGCTCTGGCCAACTAGGCATCAGGAAATGTGAGGCAGGCAGAGTCTCAATAAGCATGTGGGGACCGAGATCTCCTTGAGGCCTCTGTCACCATGTGTGCAAGCTCACTCTGGTCCCCGCGATGACGGAGACCACGCGGGGAGAGGCCCGTTCCTCTCAGCTCTCCTGGCAGAGCCCCCAGCTGGCCCACTGGCTGAATGAGGGAGCCCAGCCCAAACCAGCAAAGAGCCGTCCGGCCACATGGCAGGACTGTGAGAAGTCATATGTCATTATTGCTCTAAGCTACAAAGCTTTGAGATGGTTTGTTACTAAGGAAATGGAAACTAATATAGACATCAAGAATTAAGAACTAAGAAAGACATTAATAGACTTATACAAGACAAAAGAGCAACATACATTTGAATTTAAAAACTCAGCAATCAGGCAAGAGAACTCAGGGGGAAAAAATCAGAAAAAAGGGAAACTATTTCAGTAATAAATACTTCACCAGAAAGCACACAAAGTGACTATACACTCAACAGATCATGCTTTAAAGGAAAGAGAAAGAAAAATGCGAAAAGTTTAAACAAATAAAGGAAGATATAAGAAAGATCTGAAAATGACAAATATTGAAGGGTGGCAAAGGAAACCCAACGTTCAGATCATCGGCGTCCTTAGAGAAAACAGAATGCTTGCCAAAAATAATACTCCTGTCAAAAGTCATGAAGAAAAACCAACATAAAACCACACATTGTATACGGAAGCATACAGACCCAACTGACCAAAACCAAGGCTATATTCTGGTAAAACTACTGGGCTTGAATCAAAAAGAAAAGAAAGGTTGGTTGGTTGGTTGGTTGGTTTTTCCCTAAGCCTGAGCCAAGCCTCCTGGCTGGGCAGGAGTTCCCTAGAACAGCGGTCGAAAACCTTTCGGACCTCACGGTTGGCGACCGCTGCGCCAAAGGTTTCCTTAAAGAAGTCGCAGGAGGGGAAGGTGTGTCTGGCAGGGCAGACAGCCTGGGTGAAGCCCAAAGGTGTCAGAGAGCTGGGCACATCCTGGGCACGGATGGGGTTGGGGGTAAAGCAGGAGAGGATCCTGATGCCTTAGCCACCAGGCAGGTCACACCCCAAAGGGGTGCTGGGACACTCACCCATGTAGGGCTTGGTGCCGGCCATGGAAGAAGCCTTCTCCGCCCCCTGCAACACCGTCGCGATGTTGAAGTCCGTGATGTGGACGTGCCCTGGAGACAGGGAAGCAGAGGCCCCGTTAGCAAGAGCTGCAGGCGGCTGTGCTACTCCTGGTGCGACTGAGAGCTGTGGTCTGCGAGGTGCTGGCCGGTTAGAGCGCCTGCTTACACTTGTGTTTTATCAAATACTTCGATAACGTCCCCCCGACCCCAGGATTATTCACAGTAGCCAAGACATGGACACAACCTAAGTGTTTATTAACAGACAAATGGATAAAGGATGTGTCATGTATATACAGTGACGTATTATTCAGCCAGAAGAAAGGACAACCTGTCATTTGCAACCACAGGGATGGACCTGGAGGACATCATGCTAAGTGAGATGAGTCAGACACATAAAGACAAATTCTGCAGGGTATCACCTACACGTGGAGTCTAAACAAAATTCAAATTCATAGAAACAGAGAGTAGAAAGCAGTTGCCAGGAAATGGGGTGGGGAAGTGGGGAGAGGTGGGTAAAGGGCAGCTCGAAGATGAGTAAGGTCTGAGGAGCTAATGGACAACATGGAGACTAACTGATAACACTGAGTTATATAATTGAAAACTGCTAAGAGTACAACTTAAATGTTTATATACACTGAGTGGCCAGATTATTATGACCACCTGACGTTTGTAGGCAAATTAGCTATAATTTCGGGCTGAAGTTGCTAGAGGGCCAGATCATTATAAACGTCTGAATAGCACAACACACCTAAGTATCGTTGCTGATCAGGTTTATCCTATCATGTTGATGTTGTATCCCAATGGAGATGGCTTCTTCCAATAAGACAATGCGCCATGCCACGGTGCTCCTATTGTGCAGGAGTGCTTTCAAAAACATGAGGGAGACTTTACCTTGCTTAGGTGGCCCCCACCATCACCAGATCTCAATCCAATTGAGCATTTGTGGGACGAAGTTAAAAGAGCCATCAGGCAGCTGGTTCCACAACCATCAAATCTCACAGAACTGGACAGTGCTATTCATCAGGCATGGTGTCAGATTCCTCGCATCACCTTTCAACATCTCGTGGAGTCAATGCCAAGAAGAATCGCCGCAGTACTGAAGGCAAAAGGTGGCCCAACGAAGTACTGATGGGGTGGTCATCTGGCCACTCAGTGTATATACTAGAGGCCCAGTGCATGAAATTCATGCACAGGGGAGGGGAGGGTCCCTCAGCCCAGCCTGCACCCTCTCCAATCCGGGATCCCTCTCACAATCCGGGACCGCTGGCTCCTAACTGCTCGCCTGCCTGCCTGCCTGATTGCCCCTAACCGCCTCTGCCTGCCAGCCTGATTGCCTCTAACTGCTCTCCCCCGCTGGCCTGATCGCCCCTAATCGCCTCTGCCTTGGCTCCCGCCATTGTGGCTTTGTCCGGAAGGACTTCCGGAAGATGTCTGGTCTAATTAGCATATTACCCTTTTATTAGTATAGATGTCTATTTTATGGGCAAGTTTTAAAGTACACATTTTTTAGTGGTTCATGCATATTACCTATAAATAAACAAATCTACTCACAATGAAGGCATGATAAAAATATTTATAGATTACAAGTTTAGAGGCACGGATCCAGTGAGTGAGAGCTCCTGGTGAATAGCAGAGGCAGGTCCACCCAGACTGCCCGTCTCAGGACAACTGTGCGAGACCGTGCGGGGGCAGGGCAGGGCGAGGAGAGGGCTCCTGTGCCCAGAGGTCACTTCTGCTCTCCTGTCTCGGCTGTTGTCAGTGGGGGCCTCAGGACGGTACCTGACAGATTTAGTGGGGGGCTATCCTGGGTGTCTGGCACCTGGCCCTGGGATGCTGGGATGACCAGGGCAGGTGACAGTGGCCTGGAGTGTGAAGCAGTCAAGCATAGAATACAGACAATAGAGTGGTTCTCCACCTCATGGCCCAGCTGTGGAAAGTCAGAAACAGCCGCGATGGAGGGTCTTCATGGCCTCCTGGGGTGGAATGGCATGACCCCTAACGCTGTGTTGACCCCTTCATGCTGCAGGATCCCACATGGACATCCCTCCTCCAGGAAGCCCCCCTCCCCCTCCCCCTCTAGCCCCGCTGAGCTGCTCTCACACAGGCCCCGCCGCTCCCAGCACTGACCCTGCCGGGCCAGAGTGACCTCCCTGCTCTTCCGTGGCTCCCTCAGCCCCAGCTCCACCTCAGGAACACAGGATCATTAGGAACCCCACCCCCCAGCACTGGCCTGTGTGGGCGGGGCCTGTGCGGCAGCACCTTTCACAGCTCCTGAGCGACTGCAGCCCTGGCCGAGCACCCCGAGGTCCTTGACAACAGGGCGCTGTGCCCTTCGGGGGCCTGGCACCAGGCCTCCCAAAATGCAGGGACACCTGCCTGGACACGGAGGACAGCGCTGCAGGTCAGTGACACTTAAGGGCCGGCAACAACGGCCTGAGCAACACGCAGGAGCTGCCCGCCTGTCTCTGGTGCCATCTCTGCCCACCTTTGGGACGTGTGCTCCCCACATGGGAAAGGTGAACCGCCCACTGGCAGGCGGTTCTCCGGCCGCGTTAGACAAGGGCGTGGGTTGCCGCGTTCTCCCCCTCGGTACTACCCCCGGGGCCGTGCACCTTCGCAGGGTCCTCCCTCGGGCCCAGGTGGGGTCACGTGCCGTGCCTGGCCCGCTGGATGGCAGCAAGGAGACACAGGGGGAGGCCTGAGTGATTGGACTTGCCCTGCGCTGGCTTCCACCGTGGCCATGCAAGGCCAGCCTGCCGGGGGGTGGGGAGGGGGCCGGGAAGAGAGGGCCGGGGCCCCCAGGCCACCCACTGGGCCCAGGTGTTCCTGCAGCACCTGGCGGCCCCAGGCGGTGGGCACACATCACCGGGGCTGCCTGGCTGACTCACCTGACCTCCGTCTCGGGAGCAAGCCTGCAATTGCTTAACCGCCCAGACCTGCGAGTGGACGTGGCCTTCCTGCCTGAGCATCAGGGGTTGCTCCTTACCCAGCCCCATGGGACCAGCTGAAAGCGGGGGCAGTCCTTCATCGGTTCACCTCCACTTTCCTCCGGCTCTGCCCTAAGCCCCAAAGCACCTCAACTCCTCTCCCCACCCCCTCCTACAATGCTTCCTCTCCCTCCAGCTCGGTCTCTGTCTGCTTTCGCTTCTGGCCAAGGGACCCCACATCCTAGAGCCGAGCAAAGTGCCATCTGGGAGGCAGAGCCCAGCCTGAGGGTCAGAGAGCCAGGCAGACGCTGGGGGAGGGGAAGCTCCGTGAGAGGCGGGGTTTGGGGCGAGCAGCAGGTTTTAAACATCATTAATGAATTATTAATGCGTCTATTTAATTATGTGTATATTTCATCGTAAACGCAGCCAAGCGGCATGTTCTCCGAGGAAACGCTGAATGAGGTGGATGATCAAACTCTTGACGTACACGGCCACGCGGGGTGATCTGTTTTGCAAGCTGTTTGTGAGCCATTAGCAAATGGTGAGGGGATGTAACGCACAGCACGGTGACCGCCGTTAACGGTGCTGCTGTGTCTACGGGAAACGCGCCAAGGGGGTAAATCTTACACGTTCTCGCCACCCATTTAAAAGGAAGGTGTGTGAGGTAACGGGTGCGTTAATTAGCCTGACGGCGGTAATCATTTCACAAGGCTCATGTGTAAATCATCCTGTTGTACACCTTACAAATCACGCTGTCCACCCTTCATAGGTGCAACTTTTAAATCCCAGCCAGAACTCAATGAAGCTGGGCGGCGGGAGGCAACAATGACGGAGGAACAAATAAAAGCTGAGGCTCGGCTCTGCCATAAATCGGGGATGAGGGCCCTCTCCGCTAGGGGAGGGCTCGTGCCTTGGGAGAACTGCCTGCTCCTACACTTCCTTCCGGCACTGGCGTGAAAGGGAGGGTGAGGAAGCCACTCACTCCCTAGTATAAAATAGTGCATGCAGCGCTGCATCCCAGCACCTGGCAGAGACACTTGATGAAGCAGGAGCAGTGGAGGAGCAGGTCCAGAGGCCCGTGGGGAGCGTGGGATGCTCACAGTGGACTCTCAGGACAGCCGCTGTGCATCGCTGGGCTGGCCCGGCCCTAGGCCCGTGGTCCTGACGTGGCTGGGCACCACCTCCCTGGGGCCGACCCAGAAGGATGGCCCCGAGCTCGCCGAAGCAGTCAGGGCTGGCCTTTGATTCCTACCACGTCTCCCTGGCGATTCCCACAAGACTACGGGGCACAGCCCGGCAGGAGCCTGCTCCTCAGTGTGGTCCATGGGCCGGCTCAGGCGGCCGCACCTGGCAGCTGTGAGATCCAGAATCTTCTGCCCGTTTCAGGCCAACTCAGTCAGGTTAATGAGCCAGCCAGGCTCCGAAGGCACGCAAACGCTTGAGGAGCCTGGGCGAGGGGAGGGTTAGCGAGGGGAGGGTTAGCGGGTTGTGATGACTGATGACCGATTTTTGGTTCGCCAGCCAGACACGAGTGACCGGGGGGGTCGCCAGCCCGTGTGACCCCCATGACGATCTGGGAGCCGGCACCACCTTCCCTGTTTGGCAGGTGACACCGAGGCTGAGAGGGGAGTCGCTCTCCCGCAGTCACAGGGTCACTGTCACCCCTGGGGAGCTGGGGTCGAACCCCCAGGGCCGCCAGCCCCAAGTCATCCCCACTTCCGCCCTGTCCTCCTCGCTGGGAAGCCAACAGCTGCATCTCCAGACGTGACACCATCAAATACGTTGGACTCCACTCACCCTGGCAGGACGCTGACCAGAAACTTACACAGATGCTCATCCACCAGGACCGAAGCTAAAGGCTCCTAGTCCATCAGGGACCCCCCACTTTCCAGAGCCCCCGGCCCCCCACTCCTCGCTGCAGCGCCCGGGCTTACCGTGCTCGTCCAGCAGGATGTTGTCCGGCTTGATGTCTCTGTAACAGAAAACAGAAGCTGAGACGGGCTCCCGGGGCCGCCGACAGCACCGGACACGGGACCCTCGGGGACACGCCCGGCGGCCCCCAGCAGCTCCTCTCCCCAGGCGCCAGGCCTCAGCCGGAGGAGCAGGAGAGGAGCTGCTGTGACCACAGGCTGCCTGTGCCCTCACTCCCTTCTCTTTCCTGGAACTGCAAGGAGATGGTGTGAATTTTTTTTTTCTAGAATAGTCTTTTTCTCTTTTCTTTCTTCTTTTTTTTGGTTAATCCTCACCTGAGGATAATTTATTTATTGATTTTTTTTATTTAGAGAGAGTGGTAGGGATGGAGAGAAGGGGGAAGAGGGAGAGACAGAGGAAGAGGGAGGGGGAGAGGGAGAGAGAGAGGGAGAGGGGGAGAGGGAGGGAGGGAGGGAGAGAGGGAGGGAGAGAGGGCGAGAGAGAGAGAGAAAGAGAGACATCAATTGGTTGCCTCCCACACACTCCAACCCAGGCCAGGGATCAAACCTGCAACCCAGGTACTTGCCCTTGACGGGGAATCAAACCTGCAACCCTTCGGTCCTTGGGCGAATGCTCTAACCCAGAGCTTCTCAACCTGTGGGTCGCGACCCCTTTGGCGGTTGAACGACCCTTTCACAGGGGTCGCCTAAGGCCATCCTGCGTATCAGATATTTACATGACCATTCATAACAGTCGCAACATTACAGTTATGAAGTAGCAACAAAAATAATTTTATGGTTGGGTCACAACATGAGGAACTGTATTTAAAGGGCCAGAAGGTTGAGAACCACTGCTCTAACCACTGAGCTGTTACAGAATTTACCAGGAGACTGAAGAACACACAGGAGTACTTGGAGACACAGGAAAAACCCATTTATTTTCAGATGTTTCCCATGTACTAGTACAGGACTCAGGGGAGACTGTGTCTCTCCAAATCCTGAGCCAGCCAATATGGAGGAAGCTTTCCCTTTATACCCTTTGGTTTCTTTGTCCCCTAAATATGGGCTAGGACTTCCGGACCTTTTTTGGGCTTTGCAAAAAGCCCCATGTGTTGGGGTGGGGGCCGTGAGACCACACCTAAAGGCCTGGCCTGGCGCCAGCGGTGATAACCCCTCTGGAGGTTCATGGCTTATGGCCTCTGTAAAATGGGAGGAGCACTTAGGTAAACAGGTCTTGCAAGACCAGATTGTGGAGAAAGGGGCAGTGACTTAATTATAGGCTATTGAAAATGTGCATTAGGTTACTGCACAGATTCAGATTGCTAGCCCCCAAAATGTCTCATTTTCCCCATCAGAGCAACTGGCCAGGACTGGAAAACTCTGAAATGTCTGGCCTCTCACCTCCCCCAGTGACTGCTCACTGAGCACGATCCTGCCAGCGGGTGTGGACACTTCCCCTTCGGGTCTAATGAGCCCTCCCCGCTGGCCAGGGACAGACCTCCCACCTGTCACATCTCCACCCACAGACGCGGGACCCGGGGCTCGGGGCGGGCCAGCAACTTGTCCCCGTCGGAGACGGCCACGCTACTCTCAGCTGGTTTTTGTGTGTCTGTGAGTGAGAAGGACTTTTGCATCCTTAAAGGGTTGTAAAAACAAAACAAAACACACACACACACACACACACATAGCAGAAACGAACAGGAATGGACAACAGAGACTCATGTGGCCCTAAAAGCCTAAGATGTTTCTTATTGGCCCTTTAGGGAGACAGCCTGCTGGTGCCTTTTCAGGGCGACACCGTGAACCGCATGCAGAACATCCGGGCCGGGAGCTTCCGGAAAGTTCTTCTCTGCATCACCATAGCATAGAGACCGCCACCTCAAGGCCTGCTTGGTGAGGGTGGGGCCTTGGTGCCGAGCACAGGGCCCATCACTAGCAGACGCCGTCGAAGAAAACCAGGGCTGGATGCAGTTACCACGGGAAAGACAGCCCTTACCCAGGACCACGGACACGGGAAAGGGGTGGGTGCACCACACAGGCTCCCTCCACGTCCGACATGCACAGTGGG